ATTTTACTGTATTTGTGAATATAACTGTAACTATAACTGTGACTGTGGCTGTGTTAGTGACTATAGCTGTGATTGTGACTGTGGCTGTGTTTGTGACTATAACTGTGATTGTAACTGTGGCTGTGTTTGTGACTATAACTGTGATTGTGACTGTGGCTGTGTTAGTGACTATAGCTGTGATTGTGACTGGCTACGTTTGTGACTATAACTGTGATTGTGACTGTGGTTGTGTTTGTGACTATAACTGTGATTGTGACTGTGGCTGTGTTTGTAGCTCTTTTTACTTAAAAAAAACAGACTCGTACCCAGTCGTTTCTCTTCCTCGGTTTACGGATGTGTTGCATCAAGGGAAGTCTTGTGAAAAAACTGAACTATATGTTACTAATAATAGTTGATATATTTTCTCTCTAGTTCCTCAGTCTCAAGTTTTGACACTGTCCAAGATGACAGATCTATCCCAAGAAGAGTGACATTTGCTCCTGAAATCCCTATAATCACAGACAACGAACTGGATAAATCATTTGATTGCGACCAACCAYTTGACGACGAGAAAACACCCATCAAAGCAAATGTAATGGTTCCACATTTCAGCATCAAACTTTGCGGCGAGCTCAAGCAAGTTGAGCAYGAATTTGTGGACATCATGTTCCGKGATTTTTACATGAACTTTACAAGCATGAGTCCAACTGTCACGGAATTTGATGTGTACTTGGGAGGTCTTCTTGTTCAGGATTTAATGCAAGAACCAGACTCAAARTACTCTTATTTAATGTCCTCRTCGCTTCCTTCGRGTTCCCATGGAAGGAACTTCACAAGGAGTATTTCCATGCTCTCGACCTCTTGTCCTACMGTTTCAGAATGYGGTCTTAGTTCWAATCTWTCKTCCTCACTTCCGTCRTATTTCCAAGAGCCRCARGGTATCCCTGTGCGGGTTTTATCGCCYTTGAGACCATTRAAATATGGTAAATCGCCATCTTTGTCTCAAGTTAGCATGATAGAGGAAGATGATGATGATATCTCGAGTGAAAGTGTAAGAACTCAAGAAGAGGGACARAAACACAAAGAAAACGCTTTAGTTWCTTTGAAAGTTACTCTGGTTTCTAAGGATGATGAAGATTTTGACACAAAACATAACTCGGTAAGTCTGAGTAMAGCTGTTTTAGAAAACTTTGAATACTGAATACTACGATATTGATCGTTTTCAACCATTCCCATGTGAGTCAAAAAATAAAAAACCGGCGGCCATGTTGGAGGAATGAATAATAGAAACTAATGAGAAATCCTTTGTTGAAGTTCCTTCAAGATGGCCGCTGTGACGTATAATGGAAACGAAGAATTGCATAATGCATTCCAAGATTGGATTACATTGTTGCTATTATATACTTGTAATATTTTCTTTTCCATGCCCCCCCTTTGGTCGTAGCTTTCATGGTGTCACTTTGGGAACCAGACTACGTTTTGTTTTTCCCATAGGGTGAATATTRATTTAAATACTATTGACAATGAATATTGTTTTCTTCTCTCAGGTTGATACACATATCAAGATAGACTTCAACTCATTRGACACGGTTGTAAACCTACAGACCTGGGTTCTAGTCTTGGACTTCTTTGGAATTGGCGTTCCTCAGAGCAGTCCTCCTCAGCCAAGTAGTCCCGTTAGTACCCATGCTCCAAGTGGTGTCTTTGAAACTGTCACTCCTAAGAATATAGAGGGATTGGGTAAGAATGTGAAATTTTCATTTTTTCTTGTGCATAGAAAAGTTTTTTTGTTCAAGCAACGCCATATTTGGTTTCTTTTGTTGAAAGTTGCTTTATGATTGGTTAAAAATCAAAGATGGCGACATTTCGTTTGAGAAACAATCACACAAATGTTCTCAGATGCACTTTGGTCTTTAATCAAAACTTCAAAACAAACAACAGCTTATCATTATTGATATTATAGCTATCATAGTACGCGCTCTTTGATTGGTCAAATGTTATTGTTCATTATAGCTATCATAGTACGCGCTCTCTGATTGGTCAAATGTTATTGTTCATTATAGCTATCATAGTACGCGCTCTTTGATTGGTCAAATGTTATTGTTCATTATAGCTATCATAGTACGCGCTCTTTGATTGGTCAAATGTTATTGTTCATTATAGCTATCATAGTACGCGCTCTCTGATTGGTCAAATGTTATTGTTYATTTCACCGGCAAACGCACGTATGCGAAAGTGCTATAATATAAAAGCAATGAACGACACATTTTCCTGCGTTCCGAGTGAGATAAACCACTTGGGAAAACACTAAAAGACTGAAATTTTTTACGCTTTTTTCTTGTTCTTCCAACATCCCGCGTACTTTATTTCACCAGGAACGCACGGAAATGTGTTGTTTATTGCTTTATTGTCCTTTCACATGTAGATCTATCTTGTCAAGAAAAAGAGCCGACCAGGACACACGTGGAACTTCAAGTCCATTCCTTAACACTGACCCTCAACAAGTCTCAATACCCTCTAGCAAAGGCCAAGGTCGCTGGGTTGTTCTGCTACCTTAAGATGGGCGACGGACACTTGTCAGCCGACGGCAGACTCGTGACTGTTTCACTCACAGATATGTCGCCGCATGGATCTCTATACAGGGAAAAGTACGTCTGGATTCTGCACTTCGGCTTACATTTAATGCCCAAAGGGCCATTGATCAACTGGAATTCATTGCGGACATATTTAAGATTTTTTTTATATTTGGAAAATGAAGTGACTTTAAGTTCGCAATCCGTTTTCTTCTTTTTCTAAGTCAAATGGTTTTTTTGCAGGTTCACGTCATGTGGAGATGAAGCACTTCGGTTTGAATATCTCAAGTATGTACTTACAAACTACAGAGCAAACACTAAAATCTTGAAGAAGTAGAGTGCTCGCACTTAAACCGTGCAACTGTACAAAATCTAAGTAGTTCTAATTTGTACTATAAGTGGACCTGAAGCAAGATGGTATTGAATACTTCATTGGTATCAATTCAATTTAATTTGCGCGGCGCATGCATGATTTACTAAATACAACTAAATAGCACTATTTAGTTTGTACAATTGCACGGTTTAAGTGCGATCTCTCTAGATAGGTACTGTTTATTCCATAATTTACTTTGTTCGTATCGCTCACTCTATTCTCTTTTAATCCTTCATATAGATATGACGAGCCTGATCCATTATTGCAAAGAGAAAATGACATGAAACTGTCGCTTCGTATGTCCTCCGTRCAGTACGTSCACACRAAGAGGTTYATWACAGARCTKATTGCATTTTGTCAACACTTTCTCCAGCTCCAGGAAGTTCTTGGAAGGATGAGGGCTTACTCAGCTGGAAATGAGGTACACATGACACTGGTGAAAAACGCACTGCGCATGTCCACAGCTTTCCCGCCAGTGGGCGCTCGCGTCTTGAAATCTGTAAACAGAGCGCCTGGCGATTTACAGCGACAACACAGAAAACACTACGAAAAACCTTATTTTCTCAAAATAGAAATAACAAGATAAAAATAGAAACTACATACTAAAAGGAACTATCATGAACAATGATTGATGGAAATATGAATCTTATATATCGGTGAACGAGCTTATAAATTGTAAAAAACTTACACAAAAATCGCTTTAMAAAGGAAATTAGGCAGCTTTCAGCGGGAACAGTGGACATGCGTAGTGMGTTTTTCACCAGTGTCCACATTTTAYGAAATATTCGTTGCTGTGGAAAAAGTGTAACAAATTTCTGTCCCATCCTTGAAAAGACTTCTTCGATTTGTGACCTCTCGCAGGAAAGCTTTAGTAATAGATTTCTGAAACTTTTACGTCACTACTTAATTTGCAATACTTTGTGGGATTAGTTTCAAGAAAAAAACAAAAGAAATCCGCCATTTTTTGTCCCAAACATATCCAACAATGCATTGCGTATATGGTACATGACGTAAGAGGCTCAGAGGTCTATTTTGAGTAAGACGTTACGAAAAATGTAAGCTGTTCATAAGTGCAAAGTCATCAAAGCGTTAYGAAACAGCATTAGCTGCCGTTGGATAGCGTAGGAGGGCACACTGTGACATAAGCAGAAACAGAAGAAGTTTATTTTGTATGTGTGAACCGGGGAAAACAGAAGCAGAAGCAAAAGCAGATGAAAATGAAAACGTTTTCTTCTGCTTCTGTTTCTGCTTATGTTGAAAGATTATGAGTGTGAACCGTGACATCATAAGCAGAAGAACATGCTTCTGTCAAGTGTGAACAAGCTTATGCTTCGGTTTCTGCTTATGTCAATGCACTATTCTATATTACCAATCACTCAATTGAACTAGCAAAAATRAAATAATCTACCTCCTGTCCATAACTAATACCATACAGGTTTCCTGGATGTTTGGACGCAGTGCTAGGGTGTCCCTGGACATTGAAGCTGGTAGYCCAGTTATTGTCATTCCACGATCCTCAAAGTCRCCGCACATGCTAGTAGCTGATCTCGGCGATCTTACCATTACCAATGCATTCCTATGGGAGGAGTCGGTGGGGACAATTTCGCACTCTCAAGCAAGGACAAGAAGTCTGTCAGGTATTGAGGATTCACAGCTGCACGGTTTAAGTGCGATCACTCCACAAGGACTTACATATAATGGTTTTGTGTAGATATATCTAAATCCAAAGAACGCGAGAAGTGTCTTCTGGACTGTATGAAAGTAGATCTCAAGGAGATGGATCTTTTCACTGCTGTACGTGTKCCATCCACTGTGCAGCAAGCAACGAGCAAGTTCACCTTCACTCAACAAGTAAGTCATTTCGTTGGGATTCCTGTGTGTTGTATGAGTGGAGACTGGTAACTGGGATGGACATTTTGGTCATTTTATGATGCAAACGCAATTTGTATTTATGTACTTTCTTTTAATATGTGCAGGGCGTAAAGTTATTAAAGGAAAAGTGTCGTCTCAATCTACAAGTGGAGCGTAATCTTGACTGGTCACTTAGTAAAGCTGGTAGGTCATACAGCGACGCCATTTTGTACAGACAAGCGTGATGGAAGTTGTAGCCCTCTCCCCTGAAAAATCTCCCAAACAGCCGTTTTTCTGTTTTAATCGTTGAAAAGGCACAACTACTTTTATATTTGCCAAGAAAAAGTAAAATAACTTAAAAGGACTGTTTTAGCGGACATGGCAAAAAGTGCAAACACTTCAACTACCATCTTACTTAAGTTTTGTTGCATAACATGGCTTCGCTGTACATTTGCATACTGTCAACATTTATTGGCCATTTTACTGTTCCGAGCTCCATCTTGAAAGGTAGACAAGCCTTTGCATAAAAGCGATACAAACGTTGAGCCTGCAGTGTAAGATACCTTTTGTTCACACCAAGACAATAGACCTCTGCAGCTTTTACGTCATGTACCGTATACGCAATGCATTGTAGGATATGTTTGGGACAGAACATGGTGGATTTCTTTTGTTTTCTCTTAAAACTGATCCCACAATGCATTGAAAATCAAGTAGTGACGTAAAAGGTTCAGAAGTCTATTACTTACAGGTATCTATCAATGAAAGCTCAACTGTTGTCTCGCTTTGATGCAAAGGCTTGGATACCTTGAAGATGGCGACGGGAACTGTAAAACAGAGTATTGTTTGGTATGTAAATCCCTTTCCAAGATTAATAGGACATGAGAACTCGAAAAGAAACCATGAAAACTCCGAGGGTCATAAATTTTTGCAGTTCAAGAAAAAAATATCGTTCATTGATATCAGATTTGTTTAATAGTTTCAGACTTCCTCTGTAGTGGTGGGTTGTCTTCCGTGTATGCCAGCATCGACTATTCTCAGTACTGCTTGATACTTGGAATGCTGGGAGAAAACTTTGGTGAAGCACTTGAAGCATTTGAAACTCCGTCATCGTACCTACAAGACCCTCTTGGGAAGGTATAGTTGCCCTAGCCTCCTCCGCTGCTATCACTAAGAATCACGGGCTTCCTGTCTTTTTGGGAGTCTAAAGAGGGAGAATGGGGGCGAGAGAGGGGAGGCGTATGATGGGAGAGCCTACATAGCACTCAGTTGATGTAAAATATTCATAAAGATATGATACAAAACACATAATACAATAGAACGAGAAACAATGGAATACAATACATTTTATGAATACATTACATCAACTGCGTGCTACGTAGGTCMCCCCGGCGTATGATCTCCTCCTCTTCTTATTTTTCATTTCTCGTCACTAGTCCCTAGCGGCCAAGATGGCCGTTACAAAGGAAGTCCAAAGGAGGAAAAAAGGGTTGCCTGGAAAGGAGCCTCGTCCTTGCCCGTTTTCTGTTTGTTTAACGTCTGGAAATTCCGGATGTCAAATGGTTTCCGCGAAACTGTAAATGAAACATCTTGAAAAATCGAAGTGTTCAGTTTTTTTTTATGTTTGCCTGTTTTTTTCTCTTTGTGACTTAATCGATGTGCATTGCCTGATCATTATGTACCATTTGCAAGTTCTCACCAGTCTCTTATTCTCTTCCTCAGCCACCAGAGTTCGAGGAAGTCTGGACCACACTCAAAATGAACATTGATCTCGTCAATGTCAGCTTAGAACTTCTACCCGTACAGTTGTTTGAGTTCCCTGAAAACGAAGTCACCCTACCCCTCCCCTCACTGGCAAGAATTGACTTCATWAAGTCYAAGTTTGAGTTTGAAACCTTTTCTGATTGGTCAAAAACCATTGACTTGGTGTCAACGGAGGTGATCTTTGAAGATACGAGAGGTGAGATACAGCAACTGTTTTGATTTTTTTCTATCAACATTATTATAAAATATATATTCTTATTTTTTTTAAGATATGGGAGATTCAGAGTCATGCGTGTTCAAGGATGTTCTRCTGCCCAAATCATCTGACTCGAGTCACGATGAGAATGCGTTACAGTTTGAGGTGCATTACCGKGACACCATGAAGAAGACGTTACTGACCTTTCTKTTCAACCACAGTCGYATCGTTCTTATCATTGACTATATTCTGGATACGTATAACTTTATTATGTGCCAAATGTTTAAARATGGTAAGAAATTCATGCTTCCTGKTATTSTTCTTTYCTTTCTTCCTCTCTTCCTCCCTTCCTTATTTCCAAATTTCGTCCCATCCTGTCTTCTCCTCCCCCTCTTCTGCCCCTCCTACACTCTCTTCACTTGATATTTTCGCTCTTCATTCCATTAATCTATGATCCCTCTGTTCCTTTTACTCTTCTCATTTTCGTCCACCTAGTTTCTTCCTTCTTCCTCCCTATCTTTTCCCTCCTTCTCTCTGCCTCTCTGCATCCCTTCCCCATCCTTTCCCCGCTCCCTCCCTCCATCTCCCTCTCTTATTCCATTCCGTCTTCCCTCCTTTTTTCCCTTCCTCACTGGGAAAAATCGCGCGCTTTAAAGGTTGTAAATTTGATGTAAATATGATGTAAGTGTCCAAAATTCTTTAAATTTAATGGAAATCATTTACGTCAAATTTACAGAATTTTGGACACTTACATCAAATTTACAACCTTTAAAGCGCGCGAGTTTTTCCAGTGTCTTCTACTTTCCCTGCTTCCATCCTACTTCCATTCATTCATTCAATCATTTGGTCATTCTTGCGTTTTTCAGATGAGCCAAACAAAGTTGACCAAAGCTGTGATGATCTCGATGATGCMTCAATGTACAGCCCACCCCTGCCAGCAGAATCAGGCGTGGTCACCAAATGTGAACTCAAAAGCTCACCGCAACAGGAACAGAAAACATTCGAAATGAAAGTCAACATCTCTGGAACAGAATTTGTATTGCTTGATAATCTAAGTACGAGGGACACAAATGCTGTGGTGCTTAAGGTAAAGAAGACACATATGAGATATGGTTCCCCTAACTAGCATCTCGTACAGTCAACTCTTGCTATAACGGACACCTTCGGGACCGTAATTTAGTGTCCGCAGTAGCGAGAGTCCGTAGTAACGAGAGTTACTTTCAGTCATTTCTTTGTATTTTTCGCCGGGGATTCAGTCTTTTACTGTCCGCAATTTCGAGGTGTCCGTTGTAGCGGGGTGTCCGTAAGGCGAGAGTTGACTGTAGTTAGTAGTGCAMTCGAATCTCTTTCCTTTCTTGTTGTTTTTCATCAACAAGCACGAACTAATAGTCTAATATTTCTTGCAAGGGTATAATTGCCACTTAGAATTTTAATGATAAACTTCATAAAGAGTCATGGGCATCCGGCATTCAATGCGGTCGTGTTTTAGATTTTTCATATATGAAAAATGAGGTGACTTCAAATGGCATTCGCAATCCGTTTCCATCCGTCGGTTTTAAGGTCGAATCTTACAATATCTCCATTCATATAGCATAAAGGGATAATAAGGTTTTGCTTATATTACTATGTATTTTCAAACATAAATTAAAGCTCGATATAGAGGCCGGTTCACCATAGCCCTTCAAATGACGTAACTCACTTCAAAATCTTTTCTAAGTTTAAAGGTTAAAAAAAATTGGTTTCAATATTTTTAGCTAACTTCAGTTCTTGCATGGCGACCTCATCTCCACACTCAGAAATGGCTATCCTGTAGTATTCAAAGCCTCGAGATGTTCTCTTGTGTTTTCTCATGTGAAGAAGAGACTGCACAGTCGATCATTGATCCAACTGCAGCACTGATTGAACTGAATAATGCCAAACGTCAAGTACGACGCAAAACTGCTGGGTTGCTGGACATAACTAATGAACAGTTGCCAAGTGTAGAGGTGCGTTTGTTGATCTTTTGAGTCGTTCATTTCTTCATTTCTTCATTTTTTTCATTTGTTCATTTGTTCATTCTTGTTTGCTCATGTTTTATTATTTCTTGTCCTTTCCTCACTTTTCATTTGTTTATTATTTCATAGTCCCATTATATATTTGTTCATTTTTTCATTGTTACATTTTTCTCATTTGCACATTTTTTTATTGTTATTTATTGTCCTTTTCTCAATTTTTGTTGTGCATTTTTTATTGTTTATCGCAGGTGAACCTTCATTCTTCACTCAATATGCGAATATCCTACAACGACTACAAACTCTAYCTTACCATCTTCGAGTCTGTCACAAAGCAACTTAACAAAGCAATGAAATCAGATAACGCTGTTACRCAACAACCTATCGAACATGATTTTGATGGTGAGTACATTATGGACTCTTTACACTATGACATAAGCACAAACAGAAGCAGAATCAGGTTCACACTCGAAGACATAAACAGAAACGCAAGTATAAGGTTGTTTACTCTTTACATAAGCATGAGAAGCTGCTTATGTTGCGGTGGTTCGTACTCCTAATCAGGCTCACACTAAGACATAAACGGAAACGCAAGCATAAGGTTTTTCACGCTTTACATAACCAAGAGCAGCTGCTTGTGTTGCGGTGGTTCATAAACATAAACATAAACATAAACATAAGAAAATGGGAGAAAGGCTTAATGTCCTTATATTTCTGCTTCAGTTTATGTTTTCTCCAGTTCACACATACACACATCCCTTTCTCTGATTCTGCTTATGTTCATTAGTTCAGTGATCATTTTTCCTTTTAATGAATTCGGCAAAAATAGATCACACATTTCTTGTTCAATAATCAGAAACGGTCGTTCGACGTCTCGTTGATCTCGGCTTCCATGAAGAAGACTGCATCAAAGCACTAAAAGAAACTTCAGGTCGACTTGAGGCAGCAGCAACATGGCTGCTTGAAAACGCAACACCTGTGCAAAACACACCAAACGACAAGAACACTGGATGGCAATTTGCCGGATTTGAGGTAAGATTTTTACTTT